AAAACAGAATCAGTGAAGTTTGTATGAAACACAACATTTGTGCTACTGCCAAAACCTTCTGTCCATGACTGTGTATCATGATACTTTTCTAGCTTTTTAAGTGAAGGGCTGCTGCCAACATATGGCTTGAAGGTTCTGTGCAGTTTATATAGAGCAGGACAGACATTTGTGTTTTCAAATGAAAGGAAAAAAAATCAAACAGGTGAGGCGTTGCAATAAAATAAATGTTAAATAAATGATTTTTTTAGTGCTGCTACCTGCCTCTTCATAGACACTTATCCTAAATATCAAGATGTCTTTTTGTGAAAAGAACTCAAAAATAAAAATAAAACATATTATGATGAGGTAAACAAAAGTATATAGTTCATTATATGTACACTTGTTTACTGCCTTATCATATGGTAGAGTTTACAGGCTGAAATGTTAGACTTTTAAAGCAAGTAGTCACATGTATTCAAGCATATTGGTTTCAGAATCTGTGCAATTCTTTTGAACCTATTTTAATGGAAACATGTGAAATAACAGCAAAAATCTGACTTGTGTAATATGTTAAAAGTGTGTGTAAAAATAATAATATGTTGGCTTTAGATAATATATTTGTAATCTCCCTGTGAGTTTAAGGCAAGCATGGCCAATCATTATGAACTGCTTTGGCTTTAAAGCATCAGTGTACACAATTCAGTAAGAGACTTTTGTTTATTTATTCATTTATTTATTTTGCTTTCTGATGTAGATGTCTTCGTTTTTATTTCAAAAAAATGATTCTCTAGCGGTGGTCCTCGGTCCAGCTGTTGTTAAAGGTTTGGCTCTTGCCGTTTTCGCAGTTGGTTCTGGCCCTCTTATTTGATATCGCAAAGATGTTTTCATCTGGCTTCCTCTTAATTGGCAAGATGGAATTTTGTGTCCTGTAGCTAGTGGTTGGGCAGGATGGAGATTGTGGCATTTCTGCTGGTCATGATCTGACCTTTCATGTTGGTACAGTGTTTCTCTGCGCACATCTTTCCAATTAGTCTTTTTTCTTTTAAGATCTGGGTCACTCGTATCCTTTTCATTTTCCTGCAGATGCTTTCTTTTACACTGTGCTTTCTTTGGAATTGTCTCAGAATTTTCTCTCTGAATGGACCTGACTAAATTGTGGCTGTTCCTCTGAGTTGAATGGGGAGAACCGTTTTGGCTGTGGGGGATCACTAGTGTTTTTCTCTCTGCTGCAGAGGGAGGGAAGTTCCTTTGAGCAGATTGTCTGGTGTCAGAGGTGGGCTTGTGTGCAGACTCTGTCCTGCTGGTATGGAGACTCTGTCCTGGCGTCTCTTTCTTCTTTGTCCTTAAGTAGTTTATGTGCTCATAGCAGGACTCAACATAGGAGCTACTCTGGCGTATCCATGCAAGGTGGCTCAGTTTTGAAAAGGCATGCTCAAGGACCTGATTGGGTGTCATTCGTTTTTGGGGATTGAGGTGAAGCAAGTGCTTTACCATTTCTACAAACATCAGGATATCACACCTTTTTGCAGTTGCATCTGCATAATCCTCATCTTCAATGATCTCGGTATATAAGAGTTCATCCAGCGACTTCAATTTTTTAACTCTTTTGTCAACAAACTCAATCCCAAACTCCTGGAAATATTGTTCAGTTGTCTTGAGTTTCCAGTGGTAGATGTTGTCGGAATTGAACTCCCTGCAGAAATACTTTGCAGTCTTTTGCCCATAGTTTAACATTTGCTCTGGGAGTTCTCCTTGAGTCTCCGTTATGTATTTTAGTATGGCATATTCACTGTATCCCGGGTACAGCAAGTAACCAGTGTATAGAGACACTGCCATGCAGCGCTTCAATGAGTCATCTGTTTGCACATGCAGGAACACAAGAATGATGATGCAGCCTTGACATGAGGTTTGACAGGTTGCCTGAAACAGTGAACACCTCAGCCTGCCGTGGACAGCAGAGAGATGATCACAAGAACGGGATCACAATCAGCGACATGCTTTTTGTTTTTAACCCGACCTGTTGACATTGAGGCATCTTGAATGATGAACACTTTATGAGGAAGTGATGTGGTGCATGAGCACAGCTGAGCCTGGTACGATGAACCTGGAGGTAATGTAGGGAGAACAGGGTGGAGAAAAGAGGCGTCCTAGAGACGCCACAGAATCCTTCTATACTTTAAAAGTAAAACATGAATACACAGCTCTAATTACAAACCTCTTGCCTCCCCTTCTTTTCTATTGCTAACTTTCTTTCTCTTATGTCACCAGGAGATATATAAGCGCTGCATTAAGCTGTCACATAGTCCAGTCAACAAATACTCTTCCACCTCAGCGAAACCAGCCACATCAGGTCGAGATAGACTCACAGCTAGGTAGAGCTGGGCGATATGAGATTTTTTCATATCACGATATGTTTTTTCCATTTCAGGCGATAACGATATCTATCACGATATAAGCCAAATAACTATATTTGTAAGATTTAAATGTGCCGTTGCTC